TGACATCCAGAACACAAATTTTACCAAACAAATTATTCGTCAACAAGGTATAAACTAGTGTATACTTAGCACACTGAATATCAGTTACCAAGAGACAATTTATATGATTGTACGAATGCACATTCTACCAATATTTGTGAAATTTTCGTGTGTCATCATTACTAACAATGGTGTATAATGAATAGTGAATTGAATGAATGATATTTGATGTTTATTAATCAATGCTTCTGACTGATTTATTTAGAGGGACCCGAGTGTCAAAGGTTTGAGTACTTTAACATCCATCAAACACGGTGAAACACATTTGCGGACCACTGAATTTTAGGTTAGTGAAAACCTCATGAAAAAAACTGAGGAAGCGGAAGAACACTTGATAAATGTTTGACATTTAGTAAAAAAAAGAACGTTCCGATATCTAATACAAGCCACTGTTTCATTGCTTTCAGATAACAAAACATCGACACAGACGTTGAACTCTTTTTCGTATTTATTAACTGCGTGTTCACACTCTCTTCGTCATAATGCACATTCACTTATATATTATAATTCAGCACACAATCCACAGCATCATTAGACAAACCAGTTTGTATACGTTTCGCCAAGTCATGATGCCTTTTCTTAGATAAAGACTCAGAAAAGAATATTCATAAGAACTTTCTCGAACTTCTCGACGGTGTAAATTAACGTAGAGATAACTATGTGGTATGTGTTGGAGATGAATTCACAAATAACAACGTGAAAACAGTGTTCTGAGCACTCTAATTGATAAATCTGAAAAAATCTTAAGATGTCGACAGATGATATACCTAATGTCTGTATATGAATTGTCATAGACACTTATACACTCATTCATAATATTCATAAATAGTCGATGTAATTGTCCTCAGTGAGAAGACTGTAGAGGCTCATATAATGTTGAGATGAAATAAATACGGTTTATTCATTATAATGCGTTTCTGCCGCACAATGTCATTTTCTGAATCATTTTAATCATACCTATCCCTTTTGACTGTGCAATATGGTCTTCAATGAATTATAAATGTGAAAGGTGTGTTGATTTATTAAGCATGTAGTAAGCATGTGGTAAAATAGTAAAGTTTTACATAATTATCAAAGATATTTAAAATCATTCAAGTAGTAGTGTATGCGAACACAAATAGAGATAGTTTTATGTATGTTAAAGTAGATTTACAGAATATCCTAGTGAAATCGCATAATAATACAGCTTATTCCTCATTTCCAAAACTGTCAATCAACTGTAACAGATTTCATGTGTTCCACCATTTCCATATCAACTGATTTCTGTTCTCATCCTTCCCCCCCCCTTTTTGATCTTCTAAACATTGTGCTACCAGATATTCTTATGTTCACCATCAATAAAATATTGATTTATTGATTGACATAGCCATGTTAAACGAAATAAAAAAACATCCGAAATTATGTTTACCTTACTGACAATGAACTACATCAAACTTATCATTGTTATTTTACAAAAGTAATAAATAATGCACAATTGTTACTTATCATCAATAATGATTTGTACTGATCGTTGAATATAATTAACATCACGAACTAATGTAAGCTAGAAAACCACTGAAAACCATGAAGTATTGAACCGCGGTTCATCTTTATCTGTGACTCCTCAACAAAAACAGGTTGATTGTGCCACACCACCCGTTAATTGATATCAGTTAATAAATCACTATATTCTGTGTCCGTGGTTTAAGTGTATAATGCAGTTCACAACACCTAAAGCTCGTCAGTTCAGCTGACGGGCATTATTCCTACTTCTATGATCTTATGTAATGATTTCTTCCATTTGTTAAACTTGGCTTACAACAGTCAAAGTAGTCGGACATTGACGCGTTTGCTGATGAGTTTGTAGTAATCGTAATATCGTTATAAATTTATACTCAGGCATATTAAATAACAAAAGACAAACACATTCTACTATGAATCTTCATCTTCTTTCATACAACATATGATACATTACTAATCATTCATGGAATTGATTTCAATTGAGGTTTGTAAAATTGATCAAAACAACATTGCATAACATGAAGTTAATCTCCTTCTTTGTTTCTTTTTAATTTGAGGAGAGAATAGAGCAAATTTGGGAATCTCTATCTATCTGTTTACTTAAGTTACTTTTTAAATTCTTATAGGATAAGGTATGAACACATTTCATGGATCATCTTCTTCGTTTCCTTCAAAAACGAGCTGAATTCAGCTTGAACTGGAAGTCATTGAAAACATGGTCACCCATCAATTAGCCATATGAACACAATTATTTGTGTAGTGAAAATCTACTGAAATTTCATTTCAGTAGTTAAAGATTATCGTTTGAAAATTACTTGATCTGGTGAAGTTATAACTAGCAAAATTCATCTGTCGTATATTCATACGGACTTTAAATAGATGAAATACATAGAATATTCATCTTACTCTTCGTGTAACAATTTTTCACCTCTTAGAAGTAAGCATTTTCAACGTGCTTGAGAACAATTTCTAACATGGTTAAATAATGATGTATATAAACAATGAGACCCACAGTAGGACCAACCGGCCGTCCAGTGCCTCCAGATTTTCAACGGTGGTCTAACATCAATCGGTTCATGAGCTCAATGAAAAACTTAAGCCTCCACAACCCCATACTGATAATCTAGATTTCCGCTGTTGAAATCATGAGTCAATTGAAGCTATATCACCATCGAAGTCTCGAGCCAGAGCCCTTAACCGGTAGACCGCTGAGCCGGCATCCAACGGTGTTAATGTTAACGAAACGGCCGTCCAGTGCTTCCAGGTTTTCGATGGCGGTCTAGCTTCAATTGACTCATGATTTCAAAAGTGAAAATACTAAATTCTCCACAAAACCCCCTCTCATCTATAATCTAGATTTTATCACAAGTCAGTCATTTCTTTAGAGGATAAGATTGGTAAAAGCCTTCTAATTCATATTCCTACAGCGGCCTTTGATATTATCTGACTGATACTTTTCACTTTCAATTAACTGATTTTGTGGCCCAAGTTCACTAGGTTTTATAACTGTTGGGATGACCCTGCATTTTTCTCGCAAGCGACATGACAAGCTCGTGAGTCATCAAGGAGCATTTCAACCAATCAGCGGTTAATTTGAAGTTGTGTGAAGTTATATTACTAAAATAACGAGAATGAAAAAGTCACAAGTGGAGATCCTGATTGGCTGATTAATATACTGCTACTATGTTTAGCAGTATTTTAGAATTTTCAGTAAAACTCAAGGACTCTTAAATTACTATAAAATCCCCATATTTTCTGTACATAAATGAACCCTGTAGTAAAGTGCTTCGCTTACACTTTGTGCCTTTTCTCTGGTCTTCAAGTCGGTATATAATTCTAGCTCGGGGGTACGGAACTAGCTTAGGGAAGCGAATATAGCGTTCACAATCGGCCAGACGTAACAATAACATAAACGGAGTTTTACCATTCAGATATTTGATTTCTGTTTGGAATATACTCATACTACATATGTATACAATCGCTCAGTATTTTGATGACAATTGTGTAATAATTTTCTGTTAAATTAAATTATTAGTAACTGTGACTTTACCCTTTCTATTTTGTATCATTTTCAGCTCATAAATGTGCACCAATCTTAACCAAATCTAATCATATGTTCTGTATCTTGTTCTCTTTATGATTCACAATGAAAGCACGGGATACAGTGGATAGCTAGGATGCAGCTGGACGATTTAGACTTCGCAGATGATCTGGCTCTTATATCACACACGCAACAACAAATGCAGGAGAAAACGACCAGTGCAGCAGCAGCCTCAGCAGCAGTAAGTCTCAATATAAACAAAGAGAAAAGCAAGACTCTCCGATACAACACAGTATGCACCAATCAAATTACACTTGACGGAGAAGCTTTGGAGGATGTGGAAACCTTTACATATCTGGGCAGCATCACTGATGAACACGGTGGATCTGATGCAGATGTGAGTGTGCGGATCGGCAAAGCAAGAGCAGCATATTTACAACTGAAGAACATCTGGAACTCAAAACAATTGTCAACCAACACCAAGATCAGAATTTTCAAAACAAATGTCAAAACAGTTCTATTGTATGGGGCGGAGACGTGGAGAACTACGAAAGCCATCATCCAGAAGATACGGGTGTTTATTAACAGTTGTCTACGCAAAATACTTCTGATCCGTTGACCAGACACTATCAGCAACAAGTTACTGTAGCAGACAACAAACCAGATTCCAATGGAGGAAGAAATCAGGAAGAAGCGCTGGAAGTGGATAGGACACACATTGAGGAAATCACCCAATTGTGTCACAAGACAAGCCCTCAAATGGAATCCTGAAGGCCAAAGGAGAAGAGGAAGACTAAAGAACACATTACGCCGAGAAATGGAGACAGACATGAGAAAAATGAACAAGAATCGGATAGAACTAGAAAGAAAGACAGAGTGGGTTGAAGAATGCTGGTTGGCGGCCTATGCTCCATTGGGAGTAACAGGCGTAAGTAAGTAAGGGGAACTACGAAATAGAATGAACCCATTTTATAACCTAGACATTGCTGTTCTTGCACTGTTTAAATTTACAGTATTCCCAATCTAAAAAATAACACTTTGAGACTCTACCTACGAGTATTTATCAGGATTCAGAGCAATATTGATATGGTTTCAATTAGTGCGTGACGCAGCTAAGATGGGGGGTCAATGGCAGTATGAATGCAATGAGAGTACCATCTTCAAAAATGATGTGAATTGATTAAAGTTTCTAATTCCGATAAATATTAGAAATCTTTGTTGTTGAAGGCACACCTCAGTGAGTATTATAACAAGAACACGAAACACAATTTGTTTTTTACGCAATCTAATTATATTTACAATACTCATAAACATTAGGATACCATGATGGTAAAATATTCCTAACAATAATTATACCCAAACTACTGTGATGTTGCTAAAGCAAACATTACTTAGAAAGGTTAAAATTATCAGTTGGAAATCAACTTTTATTATGATTGGAAACAGAAATGCAATACTGTGATAAGATTTCATCATCTACCATAGTTGGTGTCCCACATAAGAGATCTTTCCCATCAGCTGCTTTTGGGAAAGCAATTACATCTCTGATTGATTTGGCATTTACAAATATTGCAATTAAACGATCAAGACCTAGAGAAAATCTATGTAAGAATATAACACCCACTTACCTAACGCAATCACACCATGTGGTGGAGCTCCTGAATTTAGGGCAGTTAAAAAGTATTCCATTTCACAAGAATTTTCCTGAAATAATATAATGATTATATCCATATATATAGGAACTCTACCTTAAGAATTTCGGTAAAAATATACTTTTGCACCTCAGGATTATGTACTCGAATTGAACCACCTCCAACCTCTTGACCATTACAAACTAAATCGTAATGTAAACCGATAACTTTGCTCGGATCAGTATACAAGAAATGTGCTGTCTCTGGTGACGCAGCAGTGAACGGGTGGTGCACTGATTTCCACTGACCTAAAGGAAATAGGCAGTAAGGAATATAATACATACGATGAAAGAGTAGTGGGCATAAGTTGTCATAAAATTATGCAGACCAATCAGTAAAACAGACAATAAAATGGAGATACTAATAAGTCAAAGTGCAATCCAATGGTAAGACAATCCATCCTGGACAGTTACGAAAATACAAGACATGGCTGGCCATAATAAACTGTTTTTTGATTGATCGCACCTAATATTCATGTTGTTCCGTTGTACTATTTAAACATGGGTTAATGTTAATTTGGTTATTTATTCACTGAAGAAGCAGCTTACACTGAGTCACGAAACGTCAGAAAATCTCATTTTTCAACCCATTGAGATATTACAAATATTTTATTCATAGCAATCTACCCAATGTTCAATTTGTTCAAAATTATAATATCAAAACTTGGTAATTATACCTGTAAATTAAAGAATTCATAAACGACCAACTCAAATCAAGGAATACAACATTCGGTGTAATTTGTGCGATGAATTTTGATGAGACTGTAATTCATGGATGAGCCAATAAGAATCGGGTAGGCGAGTCCAGGGTCACAGACATTTGTATTTCAACATGTAATGTACACGTACAATCAGTTTACAGAGAATTTCAAAGAGGACATCAAAGTTTAGCCGCTACAACAGATGCGACTACTGAGAACCTCTGTTATTTATGATTGAGGAGTTCAAATAACTGTTGAACAGTGTGCAGACTATCGGGACGACATGGTATTTCGATGTAAAATATATTGAAAGAAGTTTGAAAGAACGAGGACTTTTTTGAGTCAATCCCGATTGACATTGAGACAGGTTATGCTAATTGTTGTAGACTGAATTATAAGAGCACCAGTAATACTGGTTGCAACCTTTTCAGATGTTACTGAAGCTTCAGCCGTTCAGTGGTACGAGTATTATAGAGACATATGTTCAATAAAGATGACGATGTTGAATTAGTCGTCTGGAGGAAACGAGAAAATCGATGAGACGGTCTTTCGGAAACGCAGACTTAATAGAGAAAGTGTGACAGAAGATTGGGTAAGTAGCAGTTTCTTAGATATTCTTGGCAGGTCTTTGGTATAGATGATAGATCATCGCAAAAGTGTTATTTTGAGAACCTCAGAAACTGAAAGGTTACAAAGCTGATACTAATTATACGGGAGTGTGTGCAGCTAGGTACCACAAGATACACGGACGACTGGAGTGCATATTGATGCCTATCTAGACTTGGTTACGACTATTGTCATCGTTCACGAGATATTTTGTTGACCCTACCACAGTTGTGCATACTAATATAGAAGCAATGTGGTCAAGGCTAAAAGAGTCTCAGAGACCTCATCACGGATCCAGAGATTGACTGTTGTGAAGTCACATAGATGAGTTCCTGTACCGTATGCATTACGATTTCAGAGGCACAGGGCCTCTTTCTAATCTGGATAAGTTTTTAAACTGTTAAAGTGTATTCACTTTAATTTTTTTTTGGATTTAAATAATAAACTCTTACCAACTGTTATCTGATTAGCTGCAATTTCTTAAGGTCACTTGAGATTCATTCAAAGGTCTCACACAATTTCTAATATTACAGAAGAGTAGAACTTAGTCTCTCCAAGTGGAAATATTAATATTTTCCAACATACAGAACTACAATTAATAAGTGAAAGTTTTTAAAGCAATACATGAAATTTCAGATCTGATAATCACAACATTAATTTTCTAGTACTCTGTCTTCAAAATGTCAGTAAGGTCAGTGATTGAATAATCCGACTACTAACAGTGAACATTTCACGAATTATGTTTCTATATTCACCATGCTCACAATACAATGAATTCGAAAGAAAACTCGAGATTAAAGGCGAGAATCTTCTTTGAAGCCTAATTACATTTAATTTATTCTCGAACTAATTAACACAACAATTAGCATAAAACCAATGCACTACAATATACATTTCTTTTTTGCTTACATACCTAAGTTATTTTTTTCAAACAATGGAAATTGATTTATCCAAAGAAAATGGAATCCAGGTTCATATATTGACAAACCTTTAATATGAACAGAAAAAAGTAATATAGTTATTTTTGCCTGAAACCAGAGGCAAGGACTGAAAATCTCATGTCAATATAATATATGCCCAATGGTAGAGACTAAATGATACAAACCAATAATAAAATATCAATGCTTTGTGAAATTACATATATATCCAACAGTAAGACTTAAGATAATCATATGCATATAATTCATGAAGATCGAGCAAGGATAACTAAATCCAAGTGGATGGAGCAAAGTATTAGCAAATGAAAGTATGGTGATCTGTAGGCTCCTCTAAAAGTTAATGTTTAAATTTCGCCTGATAGGAAATAACATAAGGTAAAATACTTTAAGAGCATTAAGGTATTTTGATTGTAAGATGAGAAAAGCTCTGGTGAAAACTATGTCCTTTGTTGACCTCATAAATGTATTCAAATAGAGGACTGACACTTTTTTAACCGACTCAGTAACTTTCTAACTGATGTTAAGCATTTGGAGGACAAAAAATAGGCTTGTTAACTCTGGTTAATCTCCAGCAGCTGATCAGTTTATTAAGTAGTTTGCTCATTCGAAAAATACGCAATTACCACTAAAAGAATATGAATAATATGAATATTTAAAAGCTATTTGATCAAATAATGAAATGAAAAAAGGATATCACCTTTCGAATCAATAAGCTTAGCAACTTCAACTCGTGCCATGCCCAATGCTTTTAACTAGTAGGCAAAAACCAATCAGTCTGAAAGGCAATTGTTAGCTCAATTTCTGTATTTCCTTTAATGAAGAAAACTAAATCACCACACTCTGGTTTTAATAAATTTAGTAAGTCCAACTGTTTTGACTTGATATTTTGAACTGTAAAAATTGATATTCTCTACAAAATATAAAAACGTAGTAGAAAATAAGTTAGTCAAATCCAATGAAACACTAATCAAAATTGAAGTCAGACAAAACGTTAAGTGAACAAATTGCGACTAAATACAGTTTCCCATTTAGACATTAAAAACACGAAGTTCAGTGAAGGGATCCCTTCTCAACGAACCTATTATCAAGCTGTACAATCGTATATATATATATATATATATATATGATTTTGTTATATCCTGAAGAGAATGATGGGTGGTACCTTTTAAGAACTATGAACTTAATGTGCGGGAGAGAATGATTGGTTGTTTTGCTTAGTCAAACATGTAGATAGTGTGACAGGTGTTAGATGTGTTATATATTCCCCTATCCTTATTACTTATTATCATTATTAATTAATTGTTCTTTGTTGTTGGATTGTTTGTGTCGGATTTGGGTGGAAATATATTGACGTTTTAGTTTGGCTACTCACGTGTTCTTCATCTGAGTTGTGTTGAAGTCCTGTAGAATAGATACTGGGAAGGAATCTAGTGTAGATATTCGTCTTTATTGTATTTAAACACATACATATTCGTCTAAGGCAAATTAACGTCCCACATACGTGTAAAAAGTAAAAGGACCATTATAACAGAACTATTACCATGCGATTTACCATTACTGAATTATGTCCTGTCTACCAATTACTACCTCCCTGATTCACAGCCATATTCGGTTGAATCTTGTACAAATGTTATTTTCTATTTCATGGTACGATATGGTCTGTTTTGTTTGTATATAAACCCAGTATGTTTGAAATACATGATTCATATCACGAAGGCTGAGATTGGTGTTCTGGACTTATTTTATTTAAACACATAAATATTGGTACAAGGAAGCACTAGATAAATATGCGCCTCATAAATCCCATTTGATTTGTGTGAGGGCATCATTGGTCCCGTCGATAATTCACTGTTTTCTAATTGGCGGTATCATTACGTCATATATTGGAAAGGGCACAAGACTACAAGTTATAACATTGTGCACCTGGATAATAAATTTATTGAAAAAAGAGCTCTCCGTGTTTCTGATTAATACAAACTGACTAGTTTCTGAATAGCAATGAGCAGGGTATAACACTGTTATTTCACCAAGTGAAAAGGTTTCTGTTAACTCCAATTAATTTTCTAATAGTCAGTGAAGTGAAATGTTAAATAGACAAACCATTTGTTTTAATGATAATGATCGAATTACTAACTGAAAAAAAATCGATTCTGATAAGACAAGTTTGTTTTAAGCATCTCCAACACTATAGGAGTTTTAGACGACTGATGAGCTAGTGTTATTGTTTTCAAAAACTAGATAACAACCCACATGTCCCAAGTAGCAGTTTACAAACACAAGCTCTGTTGGTAATAGGGGTACGTGGGAGGCTGACACTTCCGAAGACATCATCAGCCGATGAAGTAAATTGCTGTCGTGTTGATGAATGTAAACCAAGTGGTTGGGGTCTGCACAAAAATCATGGTTAGCGGTTGGAGGCAAGGGATGGAATGGGTCAGAAACAAAAAATGACACTTTACCGCTATTGAGCTAAGAAATCGTTAAATTATCAATGCACTTGTTTGTATTCAAATGATACAGAGAAATGTCCAAATGACCAGTTTTCTCTCTACTGAAAAACGAACCTAGCATTTACTAGCTACATATAGGCTTTATGAGAACCTCGAAAGTGAAGAACCGTAAAAAGACACTTACGTATTTCCTTGGTATATTAAAACCTGTGTGTCCATCAACTGCGGAATATGAAAACAAGAAACCAAATCGTACATCTGGTTTGTCACTTCCATATCGTGACATAGCATCACAATATTCCATGCGCAAAAAAGGTGTCGATATTGGCTGATAACCTGAAGTACTCTGAACTGTAGGCCAAATATATACCAGCATATTCTCAATTATTTCGTAAATATCATCTGGAGTGATAAATGCCATTTCTATGTCCAACTACAAAAGTTAGGAAAAATGAAAGATAACCTAAGTAAACGCGGGTTGTCTGTCAGACCTAGAAGTCTCATCGCGAAAACATCTAGCAACCTGCATATATTTACTAAATCCACTTATCATCAATAGCTGTTTGAATTGTTGAGGGCTTTGAGGTAAGCAATACCATAATCCAGGAAACTTGGTAGGTACAACAAACTCACTAGCACCCTGAAGAAATCAAAAATTAATACAAATACTTTCCCCTGGAGTAATTTTGAACAAATACGGAGTTTCGATTTCAGTAAAACCTATATACGTAAATCACAAAATATTTACAATACCATTATTTTCACACATAAAGTTCCGCATTTGCAATATGATAGATGAACGAAACCGTATGTTTCTTTGCATATTCGACGAACAAAAATCAATGTAACGATATTTTAATCTTTCCATTTCGTTGACCTTAAAATAACCGAGTGATCGTAGGATAACAACCTACATTCGCCGCATCTTTTGGAAGAAAGGAAAGTTAAGATGAATGACTGAGGATTTCAATGCTTTCAGCAACTATTTCAATTTCGCCAGTTGTCATATGCTTGAAGCTAAGATATAACACGGATAACATTACCTTGTTTACATCCTTTTCCGGACGTGCTTGGACTTTACCTGTCACTCTCAGGACAGACTCAGAATTAAATTGCGGAATTTGGAGAGAATTTTTGTCACAATATATTTGTATTATACCACGATCATCACGAAGAACGACAAAACGAGATGACAGTCGACAATGCTCAAGCCATCCGCATACTGTGACGGTTGAGTTGATATACTGAGTATTCACCTCACCACAAGCATGGGATTTATATACAAAGGCCGGTAAGCAAGAAACTGAAGAATAAATCATATCACAATAAAACTATAAGTTACCAGAAGCCTTAGGAATAAGGCTTAGGAAAGATAGGGTCAGATTAGGAGTTCCAAAACCAAGCTGACTGAAAAGTCTTCGAAAAACACATGACAACATTTGAGTGTAACGGTAATAAAAATCATTACATGCAACATTAATAATGTGTGTTTGTATTTCTCATTGCAGGACAACAAAGAGTGAATGCACTGGATGAAGAAGAACAAGCCCTACGCCATCTGAACCTGCAGAATAACGAGTAAAACTATTTTGTAATAACTTTCCCCTTTTGTACTAAAAACCGCGTTTTTTTCAATTTCAAATATATCCGCTGTACCAGCACACCGTGTTCTCACTTCAGACGCACTTGTCGGTCCTGACTGTTGTGTTGCCGTTTCAGGTCGCTCCTGCTCCCAAGTAAACGTCGAAATACAACGTGCTACAAGTGGTGATGGAGGTGTTTACGTCAAAACGCGATGAAACCTATGAGGAACCACCGGTCATTCCAAGCAAACCAGCAACCGGGGAAATTATCCGCCAGCCACCACTACTGGGAGTCTCATCGGACTATGCCATTTGGAAGGTCAGGATCACGACGTATCTACGTAATATCCCAGCTGCCGAACATTTTGACTATCTCCTTTCGTGTCTAGACGATGAAACGGCAAAAAACTCGTCTGCCCAAAACTGGAAGGTGCTTGATGAATGATTTTCGCTAACAGTAGATACACAGCTGGAGACCATGTAGTTCCTGTCGCGTCACCAGAAAGCGAGTGAGGACCCCATGGAATACCTGCACTCCTTGCAGCAAGCAGCAATTGTAGACTTCCCGAGTTTGGACGTCTCTATACGGGAAGAAATAATACGCGCACGGTTCACAGATAAAGGAGGTGAATTTATACTTGATACTGATGCTAGCTCGTCAGCTATCGGAGCAGTCCTTTCTTAAACAACACAAGATGGACAGGAGAGGGTCATAGCGTACGCTAGCCGGCGGTTAGATAAAAGAGAGACAAGGTATTCTACGACGCGCTCCATTCTCACTCCATTCCGATCAAGGTACAGCTTTTGAAAGCCATCTCGTCGCTCAGGTATGCCGATTATTGGGTATCCGCAAAACACATACCACTGCATACCACCCTGAAGGTAACGGTTTAGTAGAAAGAACAAACCGAACCATTAAAACCCCCATACAGTCGTTTATCAATAATTCGTCGACGGAATGCTGGGATGATGCAATACCCCAATGCTTGTTAGCTTACCGCGCATCAGTTCACGGTTCCACGGGATTTTCACCTGCGATTTTACTCTTTGGACATGAATTACGCCTGCCTGTAGAGATCCAAATGCCATTGTTGCATTTCAAAGCTCAAGACCATATACCATACGTCCGTAACTTTCGTAGCCGTCTAGCCGACACATACCGTCTAGTTAAAGCTAATCTACAAAATGCCAGCAAACACCAAAAGAATGTGTACGATCGACATGCGAACGGGACTGTATATAAACTTAGAGATCGTGTGTGGTTACATCGCCCTATGACCCCACCAGCAACATGCGGCAAGTTTCACCAATCTTGGAAAGGGCCTTATGAAGTCGTATTTATTCGGTCCCCTACAACATTCGTCCTACGCAACCTCCAGCGACCTCAAGACGACGTTATAACAGCACACTACAACCAAATAAAGCCAGATAAAACAACCGTGCACTCAGATACTCCGTTTGTCAATCCCCCGACGGCTACCAGCCATTATGAGGTGCCACCAGAAGAAGGAATAGCATACCCATGCCCGCAACCAGGCACTGAGGACAGTGCCTCATGGAGAGAGGAGGTATTGTAGCGGTAATAAAAATCATTACATGCAACATTAATAATGTGTGTTTGTATTTCTCATTGCAGGACAACAAAGAGTGAATGCACTGGATGAAGAAGAACAAGCCCTACGCCATCTGAACCTGCAGAATAACGAGTAAAACTATTTTGTAATAACTTTCCCCTTTTGTACTAAAAACCGCGTTTTTTTCAATTTCAAATATATCCGCTGTACCAGCACACCGTGTTCTCACTTCAGACGCACTTGTCGGTCCTGACTGTTGTGTTGCCGTTTCAGGTCGCTCCTGCTCCCAAGTAAACGTCGAAATACAACGTGCTACATGAGATTAGATTGAGATAACAGATTTATTATTTTAGCGACCTTCAGCAGCTTACCTCAAACGAGTTCAAATAGTTTCAAATTCAGTTCTCAGTCTCCAGTGATTAAGATGAGAGGTCTGTCGTCCTATATTAATCCTTGCAGTTTGTAAAGCTGTGGAGGTTTAATTTCGTTTCAATTAAATCAACGGAAAGTGCTGATATTACGTCGTAGTGGTAAATAAATCCCCAAAATCAATAGCTCTGTAAATCTTTGATATTTGATGCTGGCTGCATCAGGTTTAACTGAACGCATTGCGTTTGTAAGCCTGCTAGTGTAGGAGTTTAGAACCATGTTCACTGAAGAAGACGAAGGATCCACGAATTCTCCTTGAAGTTGGAATGTTGTTCCATAAACCAGTTGTGATGCCGTGTTTCCAATGTCAGCTCTCAATGCATTGCGGATATCTGGTAAGACTAATGGAAGAGCGTCTTTCCACTGTGAATCGCGACTCGACACCATCTACAGGCTCACCTAGCTGAAGGCTTTCGGTCGCTCATCCGCACCATATCAGGAGTGGGTACACCGTGCTTCACTTCTACAGCAGCTAGATTGATCACTTCTGTATATATCAATAGCCTATCAAATATGTTTCCGAACTTTTGATTTCACTGGGTTAGCATATTTCGAATGTGTGACTGGTTAAAATGCTGTCAAACCCTGAATACACGTGTCATTTTTAGTGGTGAGCCCGGCGTGATCTGGTACACCAATTTGTTAAACTGTCTGTTCGTTTTCGCAACTGCATATATAGGTTCTTACTTTGATTCTTGCATAAATGGTTATAATGGTTTAGGACGGAACAGAAGAAGCTTTTTCGTAACGGGCTTCAGTATCTAGTAACATTGAATCACTGATACCTCCAGGCAGGAACCTAGGTATACTATCGATAAAAGAGGATAAAGAAATTGGTAAATCATAGTAAGATATTATCCTTGGTCCTCAAGAATACGTCAAGTTTTCTCTTAGAGGACTCCTGGGAAGTCATTTGGACTAGCTCAGTCGACAGCAAATTTCAGCATTTCACTACCCGTAAGGAGTTAAAGGTGTGTCGACAGTCTGTTCTGTTGTGTTGTGCCTCCAGGTTGTGAGTGTTACCTCTAAGGCTGGTGTTGGGACTGAGGCTAAGCAGGTGTTAAAGGGGATATCTAGAAGTGTTCAGGATGCTGTAAGCCATTGTGTCAACCCTAGGACTCTAATGGGTTAGGATTCAGTGATTGGAGGCGTTCTTCACAAGGTTTGAATCTGAGTCCCTGAACTGATTTCGTGGCTCGTCGTTGTGTACGCTTCAGATCTTCCTTGTTCTTTTGGGGTTAGAGAGGAAGTACTATGGTTCCGTACTTTAAATGTGGATGGATAAAACTGTCAAAGGTTATGTGGAAAGTTCTTCCATCAAGGTGGCCAAAAATACACTTCAGTGCCACCAGTGCAAGGTTTGCTCGAAAGGCACTTTTGTCACAGTTAGAGTAGGACTTGTGATCATAGGGTACCAACACTCCTAGACCCTGACCAACTTAAGATACCTATAAAGGGAAGTTACCTAAGTTGCAACTGTAGTATACAACGTCTGTCAGATGGACTACTTTACACTTTGGAGCGTTCAATGTAAATCCGTTGTCGTCTGTCCAACTTTGAAGTCGAGTCAGATCATCCTGAAGCCCCAGTATATACTTTTGGTTGCGTATCTCTCTCCAAAGTTTCACATCACCAGCAAAAAGCAATAAGTCAGTCGATATCTGCTGTAGAAGATCGTTTACATGAATCAAGAAAAGAAGAGATCCTAGTAATGAACCATGGGGGATCCCAATAGGACATTCCATAACCCGAGAGAAGGCGAAGTTAACCCTAAACTCAAAATGTCGATTTTTCAGATATGAAGTGTGTCAGTCAGTAAGAAGTGGTTTGATACCCAATCGTTCGAGCTTATTGATAAAACATATGAGGTTGACCCTACCCCCTATTGCAAAAGATTAGGTCTTTTCTCACAAACAGATAGTAAATAACCAAGATTAACTCTATAACATCTACACCTCGACCAATAACCAGTGGTGTTGTGCAGGGTAGTGTCTTGGGTCCATTGCTCTTTATAATTTATATCAACAATATGTGCAAGTCCTTTACCACAGGTAAGACCAACCTGTACGCTAATGACTTAAAAGTCATCTATAAAACTGACATTGGCGATGTACGTAGTACTATGCTAACAATCCAACATGAACTCAACAAAGTAGACAACTGGTGCGAACGCTGGGGGCTGGAGCTCAACACAGAGAAATCCTGTTGACTATATATTTGAGACACGTCTCTTGAAATAAAACCAGAACTTAACAATAACTCACTACCCAGACTGACATCAGTAACTGACCTTGTGGTACATTACTCCGATAGTCTTAACTTCTCAGAACATATTTCAACTAAAGCATCTCAAATGCGGAGATTGTTTGGCTTCATCCTTCGTAATTTCTTTCACAACGAAGCTAAAATCATTCTTTATAAAGTCTGCGTAAGACCCATCGTCGAATACTGCTCGTTCTTATTTTCCAACCTACGCCTATCTGATATACTTAAGGTGTAAGGAATACAGCGAGACTTCACTCACAAAATACTTAAGAATGACCAACTCACTGACTACAAATCCAGATGCCATATCTTAGGGCTAGAACCCCTCTGGAAAAAAAAGCTTAGGTCTAACTTAATTCTTTATTTCAAACTCCTTAAAAGCCTTGCTTGTTCCACATGTAATATAGTTCTCTACCAAGACACAAATGATGACAAACTTCGAGACAAATTATCCACAGTCAAAATTGAAAAATACAAATCAAAAACTCGGGAAAACTTCTTTATCAATTATGCATTAATATGGAACAGTCTTCCTTCTGAAATACTCATGGCAGATAAATTAAATACGCTTGTAAGACTTATCGATCAATCCCTCACCTGCACAGATCTAGCGCAAACGAACACATCCACGTCCCACACAGATATCATAGGCTCTCTACACATATAGACTAAATTGCCTTATTTCCCTACCTTGTAGTTGTATTAGATACTTTCCCCTCACTAATTCTTTTCAATTGAAGTAGACAGGCAACTCACTGGACCTATCAATACTCGGTTGCTAAACGACGCTTACAAATACCGTAAAACGTCAGAAAAAATGCACAATCGACTGCCTATTGCCAGTGGTCGTACAACCACAGAACCTGTCACCCATCAACCGGTTAGCATAGAACAAAATAACCTCAGCTCGAATTTAGTGTGAGTTACTTCTTGTCTATTCTTTATCAGCTTTTTACTCATCTGTACACTATGTTGCCTTACCATCAATATTATCTCACCACTCGTTATCTGTAACTAATACAAATCTACACTTTTCCGCCTACTATGGTAAACAAATATCCTACACTATACCCTCCTTAATGCCTATACTCTGATTCGCAACCTACACTTTACTATATATTCAATAAAATCATTGCATCGAAGCCTTACCCACAGTCCATAATTTGTAACTGTCTGATAAGCTTGTAAAATGGTACTTATAAAAATAATGTTTTCCAACAGGATTTGAAACACGGAGCATCGTGTGAGGTGTGATGTCTATCCAATACAAGCTTAAACGAGCCTAACATCACAAAAGGAGGGAGAGTAGAGTTACTGACCAGCAAGCACTGATGGTGAGTGCGATGATTTCAATCCATCCGTGTTTGTGGGGCAGAACATTTTGTTTGTATCAGACTCTTTATGGATGAGAACAAGTCAATCAATCTGTATTATTGAGGTTGTTCTCCTACACTCATCATTCAGACTCATGTTTTTAATTTTTGCGCTGGATTAACTATTCTACTAAGACAACCTTTAACATGCTAACTCGGACTTTTACATGAAAACTATGTGGCAGGCATCGGATGATGAAAAAAAGACTGTAAAGGATATGATTGTTATTTTACTCAACACTCTACTCTCTATATGCACTCTCTGTTCTTCCTCATTCCAACCTTGACTTCCCTTCTTCATTCAAACCTACTTCACCTTGATATATATCACAACTCATTGTTCTTTATTACTGCATTCTCCAATCTAAAGCGCCTGATCGCATTTCACTCTATCAACATAAGCTAGCATCAGTTTGATCTAGTCATTTATCATACCTCCATCTGTTCCACTGCTAAATGTTAGGCATTGGTTATCGTTCATATCCAAATGCCTAGCTGCTCCTGGGTTTTTTTCTTTCTGTTCAGAATCTTGCTCTGAGGATGAAGCTATATAACATCCGACATCTGGAAGAAGCTCGACGAACGCGCTTTCCCAAGGTCATAGTTCGCACCACACGCCCCACAAGTATACTTTATAACAACTACAAACTTCAAAAGCTGCATTACATAAATACTTAGCACGACCGAAACCCTAATACACATTTTGTCGAGATCGTATCTGGTATGTAACGTGGACGCTACACCCCTTTGGAAACTATTCTTATGAAAACACATTATATCTAAACGAATGAACTGCTATTAACTTTTATAGATTATAATAACTAAACAACCTTGCTTGGGATGCATACTGTAAACCATTATATGTTGTAACTTGTAAATCATGTATGTGTAAAGGCGTGTACATGCCCTTACAGAAATATATTATTATTATTATCATAGAAATGGACCTAATTTCAAAATTGTAGATTTGTCAGAACGTGGCTGTATTATCCATAAGATCTTACATGGAAGTCACACAATTGTCTACACTAACTCCTCCTACCATAATTATCAGCAATATGACGTCTAGCGCTTCAGGAGAACAAATTTGGTCTGAGGATTTATACATTTGAAACAAAAAGCAAGATTTTACACAGAGTAACCGCGCTTGTATATCTCTTTAATCCTCGAAATAGAGGTCAGATTACTAATCAATAGAAACAGATTTATATTATCCTAGTTAACGTCTCTTAAAACTCCGCCTGTAGCTCTTCTAGAGTTACTGCCGGTCCCAAGCCCGGGTAAAGGAGGAGGGTTGGGCATGGGGTTAGCGACCCCATCCCGTAGAAAAGCTAACTCGCTAAAAAAACGCTAACCAGAAAAAATAATCCAAACCATTTAAACTCTGCCCTGGGAGTTGAAGGAATAATGACGTCTCATGATGAAAGCCGAAATTCTTCGGAAGTCACGAGACCGATGCACCTTCTAACAACCAGAGCAACACTCTTTATAGGTACATGGAACGTCCGGACAATGTGGGAAACAGGAAAGACCAGCCAAATAGCAATGGAAATGCGGAGATACAACTTGGCAGTACTCGGAATCAGCGAAACCCATTGGACACAAACTGGACAACAAAGGCTAGGTACAGGAGAGATGCTGCTGTACTCCGGTCACGAAGGGGAAAATGCGCCACACACTCAGGGAGTTGCTCTAATGCTGTCCAGAGAAGCACGAAATGCACTTGTGGGATGGGAATCTCATGGACCCAGGATAATCAAAGCATCATTCAGAACAAAGAAGCAAGGGATCACAATGAATGTTATCCAATGTTATGCACCCACCAATGATAGCAACGACGATGATAAAGATCAGTTCTATGAAAGGCTGCAATCAATTATAGAGAAGTGCTCACGAAAGGACCTCACCATCCTGATGGGAGATCTAAATGCTAAAGTTGGAGTGGATAACACAGGATATGAAGATGTAATTGGACGACATGGACTAGGAGAGAGAAATGAAAATGGGGAGAGACTTGCAAACCTATGTGCTTTCAACAAATTGGTTATAGGCGGCACAATATTCCCACACAAACGCATACACACAGCTACATGGATCTCACCGGACCACACCACAGAGAACCAGATTGATCACATCTGTATCAACAAAAAATTCCGAAGATCAATGGAAGATGTGAGAACCCGGAGAGGAGCTGACATAGCTTCAGATCACCACCTGGTTGTGGCCAAGATGAGACTGAAGCTAAAGAAAGACTGGACAACTGGACAAACAGCACTACAAAGGTTTAATACAGCCTTCCTTCGAGATACTGACAAACTCCATGAATTCAAGATAACTCTCAACAACAGGTTCCAAGCTCTACAGGATCTACTGAAAGAACAAGAAACTACTTTGGAGGACAACTGGAAAGGGATAAAAGAAGCACTAACTTCAACGTGTCAGGAGGTTCTTGGTCCTAAGAAGCACCATCACAAGGAATGGATCTCTATGGGGACCCTGGACAAACTTCAAGAAAGGAAGAACAAGAAACTAGCAATTAACAACAGCCGAACACGAGCAGAGAAAGTCAAAGCACAAGCAGACTACGCAGAAGCAAACAGGGAAGTGAAGAAAAGCATTAAAGCCGACAAGCAGAAATACATGGGAGAACTAGCAACGACGGCGGAAAAAGCTGCAAGAGAAGGGAATATGAAACAACTATATGATACAACGAAGAAATTGGCAGGGAGATATAGCAAACCAGAGAGACCAGTGAAGGACAAAGAAGGAAAGACAATCACTGAGATTCAGGAACAGAGGAAAAGATGGGCAGAATACTTTGAGGAACTGCTGAATAGACCAGCCCCATCGAATCCACCGAACATCGAAGCAGCCCACACTGACCTTCCAATAGATGTCACTCCACCAACGATCGAAGAAGTCAAGATGGCCATCAGACAAATCAAAAGTGGGAAGGCGGCAGGACCTGACAATATACCAGCAGAAGCACTGAAGTCAGACATTGAAATAACAGCAAACATGCTTCACCTTCTATTCAAAAAGATTTGGGAAGAGGAACAAGTGCCAACGGACTGGAAAGAAGGATATCTCATCAAGATACCAAAGAAAGGAGATCTGAGCCAATGTGAGAACTACAGAGGCATCAGTTTGTTATCAGTACCAGGAAAAGTTTTCAACAGAGTGCTGCTGAATCGGATGAAAGACGCAGTAGACGCCGAACTTAGGGATCATCAGGCTGGATTCCGTAAGGATAGGTCATGCACAGACCAGATTGCGACACTACGGATCATCGTTGAACAATCAGTTGAGTGGAACTCATCACTATACGTCAACTTCATCGACTATGAGAAGGCGTTTGACAGCGTGGATAGGAGAACATTGTGGAAACTTCTTCGACACTATGGAGTTCCTCAGAAGATCGTCAACATTATCCAAAACTCATACGATGGATTACAGTGCAAAGTGGTGCATGGAGGACAGCTGACAGATGCATTTCCAGTAAGGACCGGAGTCAGACAAGGCTGTCTACTCTCCCCATTTCTCTTCCTTCTAGTGATTGACTGGATTATGACGAATTCGACATCTGAAGGGAAATACGGAATACAATGGACTTCTCAGAATCAATTAGATGATTTGGACTTCGCAGATGACCTAGCCCTCCTCTCTCATACACACGACCAAATGCAGATGAAGACAGCAAATGTAGCAGCAGCCTCCGCATCGATAGGCCTCCACATTCACAAAGGAAAAAGCAAGATTCTCAAATGCAACACGGAGAACACCGACCCAATCACACTTGATGGCGAAACTCTGGAAGAGGTGGAAACATTCAAGTACCTGGGGAGCATCGTTGATAAACAAGGAGGATCGGATGCAGATGTAAAGGCAAGGATTGGCAAAGCAAGGGCAGCATTTCTACAATTGCAGAACATATGGAACTCAAAACAACTCTCAACCAATTTCAAGGTCAGAATCTTCAATACGAACGTCAAGACAGTCCTACTGTATGGAGCTGAAACGTGGAGAACTACTACGGCCATCATCAGGAAGGTACAAGTATTTATAAACAGTTGTCTACGCAAAATACTCAACATCCATTGGCCGGATACTATCAGCAACAGCGTTTTATGGGAGAGGACAAACCAACTTCCAGCTGAAGAGGAAATAAGGAAAAGACGTTGGAAGTGGATCGGACATACATTAAGGAAATCACCAATGTGCATCACGACTCAATCCCTAACTTGGAATCCGGAAGGGAAGCGGAAAAGAGGAAGGCCAAAGAACACACTACGCCGGGAAATAGAAGCCGATATGAAAAGGATGAATAGCAACTGGAAAGAACTGGAAAGGAAGGCTCAGGACAGAGTTGGATGGAGAATGCTGGTGAGCGGCCTATGCTCCTCGACGAGGGGTAACAGGCGTAAGTAAGTAAGTAAGTAAGTAAGTAACGTCTCTTAAGCAAGAGCAACTGGTATAGGTTTTCAACAATACACTTAAGCTCTATTAAGCCTACCTTTTATTCAAAACGCCATCCCCGCCTACTTACCTTATCATTTGTGTCATACAGCGAAGCCTGCCTTGCAGAAATCATCGCTTTTGCCATTAAGATTCCGGGACAGATCGCACTTCTGAAACGCGAACACAGAAGATCTAACAAAAACAGTTCACTGTAATCTTGAATTTCTGTAAATTGTTCTGTGGATTTGGTATTTGATCACGCCCGCTTTGTTCTTAATTCCACGTAAAACGTAGTAGAATACTTTGTCATGTGTTATTTTTTTACTACTCTACAAGTGTTTTGAAAGTCTTTAGACTGTTACGGTCTTGTAGCTTTGGTGTTTTGATCTTGAACATAGGTTATAGTTACTAAGGGAAATAATGGTTTTACTTACGTAGCCAACATATAACAGTGGTGTCGTCTACTTATATCCATATAAGTAGTATATGGTGATGGTTAGACATAGAATGTATTTTGGCAGAAGACCGATAAGGAAAGAACTGAAACGAAGCGCGATTGGTGGAAAAGTGCACAAACAATAAAATTAAAGAAGATGGATTGATATTTACAGAAGGAACAGTGAAGATTGAGACAATTGGTGGTTATTTTGCAAATTAAACTGCTTGCTATATGGTTATCAGAATTTAGTGAGATAGTCTGTAATTTGTGTCTAAATACATTCGATTATCCCCAACCGGTGTTTTGTTCACTACATTTGGTGTCACTGCCAACCGGGAGGGGAACGCCGCTGCGGGTCTGGAGTTGAGGTGCTGGTTGGGTCTAGCTTCAATTAACTCATGATTTCAACTATGAAAATAACAATATTTATTTGGTGAAACCTTCTTCATGATATCATTTCTTCTGTTTATTTTTTTACTTTTATTTCAGGAGGATTTAGATGTTTTCGCTGCTAATGATAGATGGATTGAATCATGTATAGCTCATACAGAGGATTTTCTTAAACCATTTAGGGTATTAAAGTTTGATACTTTAGTTATTTTTTATAATCATACTGTTTCTGTAACTGTAGCTATATAATTTGTGAATGCGCGAATTCATATAAATCGTTTTATTGCACGTCTATTGTTTTTACAAGAATATTTGATGATAATAATTATAACGCTGGAAAAACGGATTATAACTAAATTGTGTGACTGACTAGCATGCTCCTTGACCACATGATTGCTCTCTTGACAACTTGGAGTGAAATATGAATGTGCCTAGTCCTACGTTATAGCTGACTGACTCTCTTGACAACTATTTAATTTTTTCAAATACACCTTCCATGATTTCATAACTAGATTATTTTTTTTGTGTTTTGTATAATAAAGAGACATGTTTACCACATTCACATTGACTGAAGCTTTTATTTTGTTCTACTTTATTGCTCCAAAGCACTCATCTATGATACTAGACAAATTGAAGAATATGATTTTCAGCACTTACGACGTGGGAAACTGTTATAACCTGTAAACTCCATTTGTTACGTTTTGTGGTTTGTGCCCCGATTAATTTATGACGTGATGATTCCTCCAATTGGAGAGCAGTGACTTATCGATCGGACCAATGACACAGGAAACCCTTACAAGCAGTCTAGAGTACTTATCGGTCCTGCTTTCTGCCTAGACCAGCCAGTTAAGTCCAGAACACCAATCTCAGCCTCAGCGGTATATATTTCAAACATACTGAGTTTATATACCAACCAGACAGACCACATCGTACCATAAAATAGAAAATAACATTTATACAAGATTCAGCCAACTGTGGCTGTGAATAAGGGATTTACTATTTGGTAGACAGGGCATAACTCAAGAATGGTAAATCGTATAATATTACTTCATAGGTCAAAATAAAGGTCATAATAAAAGGAACATGAATATGAATAGTTTAGTTACTTAACAATTATATAATAAAAAAATACACACATGGTATTGATCCAAAAGGTACCACTCATAATTCTCTTCGGGATATAACAGCAAAATATCTACTGAATTCATTCCATACACTTTTAGCTATCATCTTTCAGTTTATTGATTTTATCATTTCAGAGTTATCTTGATCATTCACTTTATAGTATAAAGTGATGTATATCTATATGTAAAATACAAAACTTTGAAAGACGCAGTAGTTTTCACTGACTTTAAAGGTTATGTACATAGTTCTTATTATTTTGTTGCTTATAATTTCTATCCAATATCTTCTGATCAGTACTACTTTTCGTGATCGTAGTTTTTTTTGTTTGATAAAAGTCATGACGGTGAATAATCAGCTGAGAGACCATCATTACCAGGACTCACTCAGGCCATCAAGCCTCTTGTCCTTTCCAAACTGAATCTGTATGTGCTTCCGAACGATTTTCGTATAGTAAAGGTTAGATGTTTTAATTAAAATGTACAATAATGAGCAGCTATTTATTATTATTATTATTATCCAATGAACTGTTTGTTTCTTTTATTTTTACCCTCATTGTAGTCTGTCTTATCAACTGAGAATAACGATCGACTTGTATTGATTCTCATAAACGAAATTTTGCATCAACTTGATCAATTTATTCAAAGGAAATCATTCAGTAGAGTAAGTTCATTTCTTGTTACTATGGGATATTTCCATTTTGATGTTCATTTATATCCTATGCTTTTTTTCATTTTTCATACTGAATTCTATTCAATCTTTTTTTCTCTTTATTCAAAATAGTTTGGAGCTATTCAACTAGAGAAAGAATATCATAATTTGTTTGCCTATTTAACATCGATATCTTACAATTCGTTGCGTGATTATTTCACGCGTAGCTTACAGATCTGTAGACTTTTAAATTTGGATCGAGTGAGTTCAAAATTATTTTCTTATCAGTTCAAAGATTTTAATTTTTATATTGAGAAATATTCTAGATTACAAATGATCTAAGTAAACTTATCTTGATTTTAAAGAAGTGTAGAACAAAATATTTGTTTGAATAAATCACCTGAGGTCGGTCACACACAACCTTTTTGTTGGTAGTTTTTGTGTTAGCTCCATACTTGTCAGGACCTTACCGCCGGAGACGAATATCCGTGGGATAAGGTGAGGTGTGCATGCTTAGGGTCGACATTTTCTAACCCCACCTCTCCTTGTGGGAAGGCGGCATCGCTGTTATGCTGATTGTTTGAAGGAAACGCCTTACCGCTGTCACACCTCTGTACAGTCAGCAGAACGATTTCGGACGTTTGGCTTTCTGCTTTTAGTCTTATCGCTCTTCAACCGACCAGTCTGGTATGGTAGGATCTTGAGGAACGATTGTTTCAACTAGTACAACTTGATTGGTTCATCACGATAGACAATGCCGGCCATCACGTCAAGGTAGCAGCAGCGGTCGGGAAAGTATATATTTTTTTAGGCTTCGAGGTTAATCTCAGGTAGCCGATAAATATTTCAACTATTGTAATCTAAGCAAGAAAAACATATCACAGTATTTTATTAATGTTGAAAGCGAGAGTGAATTATAGCTAAACCACCAGGGAAAACGTGGAAGAACTGAACGGCCGTTTCGTCCCAATGTGGGACTGCACAGCAGTGCGCACCCACGACCTCGCCTCAAGAGATTCGAACCCAGGACCTACTAGTCTCGCGCGAGAGCACTTAACTGATAGACAATAAGACGAAACGGCCGTTCAGTGCTACCAGGTTTTTCCTGTTGGTCTAGCTTCAATTAACTCACGCTTTCAACTATGAAAATACTAAATCTCCACAAAACCACTTCTGATGATGTTATTAATGTTGTGTAGTTTCCTGTTATTCTAAAACATCACTCACAACAAATAGAGCAGTTCGCCTTTTGTTTGTTATGCGTTTGTTTTCAATATGTTTGCGGTTTTCCAGGTTGAAGAAGTCCATTATTATTGGAATAGTTCTAGTTGGCGTCTTACTGCACACGAGGTCAGAAGTATTCTATCTCTAAGGTTAGTTTTAATATTATATACATATATAAGGAGGCATAATGACTTTCTATTTATCGAAAATCTTTCGTGTTAACTTATCAATTTCGAACATTTTTGATTTTGATTCTTTATGTATTGAAAAGCCATTATTGCAAAAGTTACTTCTTTGAGTTACTTAATAAATGCGAAGGAACTCACGTTAAAACAGATATCTTCAATCCATTTATTTGATTTTACGGGATCATTCTATACTAGATTAGCTGATTTAATATAGTTGAATTCGTAAGTCAGTCAGCTACAACGTAGGACCAGGCACATATATGCATCGGTCCAAGTTGCCATACCTCGTTAGCACAACAAGATGAACATCGGATTCATAGAAGTAGTTAATTTAGTGGTGGTAATATATAAAAGAAAGATTGTATATAAGGATATATTATTGGAAGGAAGAACGTTATGAAGCAATTTTAATCTCAAGGTTTAAGGTAAGATAAAGAGTGTATACACCTACGCAATTGTGATCGATTCTGAGCCATGTCACCTAGAGTCTCCAACCATTGGTTACGATAGTCACGCGGACCCCAACCAACTAGTCTGCATCTACCAACATGGCTTAGACTAGAAGTTAGTGACTTCAAGAACTGATGCCATGTTTTGGTTTGGCCGCCCCTAATTCTCTTCCAACCATCCCCTACACTAGTCAACATTGCGCGTCGTGGTAATCGATGTTCAGGCATACGTAACACGTGGCCCAACCATCTCAGTCGATGAAGATTCATGACCTCATCAACTGATTTACCATCATTCCCTAATACCCTGCGTCTAACCTCACTATTACTTACCCTGTAATCCCAGCAGATGCGAGCAATATTTCTACGACATCTGTGGTCAAATACTAGTAACCTACGACTATCTTCTACTCTTAATGGCCATGTTTCGCAGCCGTAAAGTAGAACAGAACGAACTGCTGCGCAGTATACTCGTCCCTTAATTGGTAGACGGATATCTCGTCCTCGCCATAGGTGACGTAAGTTGGCAAAAGCCAAACGAGCTTTTTGAATCCGTACTGAGATTTCGTCAGACACCAACCCATTATGGCTGATCAGACTTCCAAGATAAGTGAAGTTGTCGACGCGTTCGACTACTTCACTCCCTATCCTTAGTTCGTTGAATTTGTAAAAGTAGGTTAATCAATCAACATGGTATTGTACCTGTGTCTTTTAAAACAAACAGGGTATTTGTTAAATACTTTTCCGGCACATTGATCCATTATCATTCGGATTTTGAAAATTCCAACCTATGACATAGCTTAATCAAATAGTTAGTAACTTCATGGACTGTTAAGAATTTTTGTTTTGAGCTTCTTAACCGTCTTCCAACCTGCTGCGATTCTGTTCACTATTGGATATCTGTGTAAGCATTGAATAAAGTTAGCGTCTTATTCACCGACTTACCACTCGCTTTTAGGTCCTTACACTTATCTACAGCAATATTGACTCTGGTTCTGACCTACGTTAACACCATATAGAACGCATCTGTGATGGAATGCGTGAAATCTATACGTGTCTAGTTTAAGAATCGGTCGCTTACATTATAAGCAAGTTTTGTTGATTTCTTCCATTAGCTTTTTCAGGTTTACTATATTCTTCATTGCAATTTCACAACAACAATTGATAAAATATGTCTTCCTATAATAATTTGAGTTTCGAACTCAAGCTTTGAGCAAAATGACACTATGACCAAATAAACAGACCATTATTTTACTTTCATAGTTGAAAACATGAGTCAATTGAAGCTAGACCACCAAGGAAAACCTGGAAGCACTGGACAGCTGTTTCGTCCTATTGTGGGACTCCCCTTCTGATAATAATAATCATATGCTCACTAGTGACTGACTTCAAGAGGTATTTCCTAGAGTTCTAGTGGGAAGCAGTAACCAGTGGAGTTCAAACCACGTTGTCGTGAGATAAAAACTCACTGAAGACAATTGGTGAACGGTTGCTCAACTTCGCGGATTGGTTGAAGTTAGAAATTAACATCATCGGATGCCGGCAGGCTCAGTGGTCCATCAATTAAGTGATCTGGCTTGGCACTGGTAGGTCCTGGGTTCGAATCTCTTGAGGCGAGGTCGTCGATGCGCACTGCTGAGGAGTCCCACATTGGGGCGAAACGGCCGTCCAGTGCTTCCACGTTTTCCATGATGGTCTAGCTTCAATTGACTCATGCTTTTAACTATGAAAATACTGAAATCTCCACAAAACCCCTTCTGAAATTATTTCACTGTTAGATATACTTTGTGTCATTCTAGTTCATGCTCAATAGTATGTGATAGAACGAAAATACTAAACTAAAATGTATTGAATTATAATGCGGTCATAATTTGTCCATACGTGTGTTATGATTATTTTGACTTTGTTCCTTAATTAATATGTTTCAAATAACTTTGATTTTGAGTAAAGTTTTCTTTATTCTATTGTCTCTAATTAATTTATTCTATGGAGTTTCATCTAATGAAAAGATTGATCACTCAATATATTTCCCAAATAATTTTCCTGTTAATGATCCATTCGGATATCAACAGGAAAACTACTTATTGTTCCTAAGTAGTTGTGCTAACATTAAAAAAAATTATGATTTAGATCAGAAGGGGTTTTGTGGAGATTTCAGTATTTTTCATAGTTGAAATCATGAGTCAATTGAAGCTAGACCACCAAGAAAAACCTGGAAGCACTGGACAGCCGTTTCGTCCTATTTTGAGACTCCTCAGCAGTGCGCATCCACGATCCCGCCTGCCTAGTCGTCGTCGTTGTCGTCATTGATTCAGGATTTTGTTCAATGTTCATTATCGTTTTTTATTCTTTTAAAAAAGTACTTTTAAGATAAATTCATCAGTATATTAATTATATTTTAATATTTTTTCATTAAATCTATTTCACAGACGTGATTTCGCTGTCAATGAAATTCGATCACTTAAACTACAATGATCTCATCAGTTATCTTTTCTTCTTTTTTATTTTCTGAATGTAATATGTAACATATTGTTTTTTGTTTTTTCTAATTTTGTAATAAAATTTATGAGATTCCAACTGTTGTTGCTGTAGATTTCGAGGTTTCGGATGAATTATAGGTTTTCTTTCTGAGTCATGAATTCCTCGACTTTAACGACAAGATTGACTTACTATTCATATTAATATCATTTATTAATTTATTATCATAAAAAGCATATTTATCTTTATGAACTAGTGATGAACTTGGAAAATTTAGAAATACGTTAGTCGATAATACTTACTTACGCCTGTAATTCATAATGGAGCATAGGCCGCCGACCAACATTCTCCAACCCACTCTCTCCTGGGCCTTCCTTTCTAGTTCTATCCAATTTTTGTTCATTCTTCTCACGTCTGCCCCTATTTCTCGGTGTAATGTGTACTTTGGTCTTCCTCTTCTCCTTTGGCCTTCAGGATTCCATGTGAGGGCTTGCCTTGTGACGCAGTTGGGTGATTTCCTCAAAGTGTGTCCTATCCACTTCCAGCGCTTCTTCCTGATTTCTTCCTCCAATGGAATCTGGTTTGTTGTCTTCCACAGTAGGTTGTTGCTGATAGTGTCTGGCCAACGGATCCGAAGTACTTTGCGTAGACAAGTGTTAATAAACACCTGTATCTTCTGGATTATGACTTTCGTAGTTCTCCACGTCTCCGCCTCATACAGTAGAACTGTCTTGACATTTGTATTGAAAATTCTAACCTTGATGTTGGTTGTTAATTGTTTTGATTTCCAGATATTCTTCAGTTGTATATATGCTGCTCTTGCTTTGCCGATCCGCACACTCACATCGGGATCAGATCCACCATATTCATCAATGATGCTGCCCAGATATGTAAAGTGTTTTACATCCTCCAAAGCTTCTCCGTCAGGTGTAACTCGATTGGTGCATGTTGTATTGTATCGGAGAGTTTTGCTTTTCCTTTTGTTTATAAGTGGATAATAACCAAAATACGAAAAATTGAGAGTACAGTACATAACATTGGCTGGCCAAACAATATCAACTCTCTTCATAGAAGCTGTTAAATGACTTCACCGTAACCATAAGCGAACCAGTTAATGGATTGTTAATTTTATCGAACATAAAACTGATTTATATGTGGAACGATCTGGTGATATTTCGAAATCCTCGTGACAGTGATGATATTAATTAAAGCAAGGAAAAATAGTTGAATAACTTTACGTTTGTCATACGACAGAATTAGCTAACTACTTTTCGGGGATTTTCCTTATATCCTTACTTTCGCTAAGATGTCTATATGTACATACATTTTTCGAAATACTAGAACAAGTTCAATCGGGCCAGTTTGGCTACAATACTTCACTTTTATTCCGACCATCGAAAGAACCGATTATCGTATATAACATTGATGTGGTAATTGCGACTGATGTGTTTACGTAAGCTAAAGCGATTTAACAGTGTTTCATGAAATTGTAACTAACTTATGTTTACTACAGATTTACAGCTAAATCTTGCTGAAACTCAAGTATTTTGGTGGACTCACTCGACTTTGTATTATCTAATGACAGTTGCGAAATATGTATCCTTATTCATTCCAGTGTTTTCTAAAATACGAGATGAAATTGACTAGAAAATAAATGTCGATTCGCGTGAGTCAGTTTATGGTTGCATTTCCACATATATTCAGTTTGAACAAAACAAAACGGTCCTTCGAATTGTAGGCAGTCACTCTCGTTGACTAGATATTCCATATTTTATTGAAGGATCAGTAGTCGTTTTTTACAAAATATTTTAGGTGTTGAGGTTTGTGAAATGTGTAGGCGATATTCGTGAATTATTGACTACATTGGTTTATTTTGAAATAAATTGGTAATTTCGCATTGTGAAGTCGTCACTGTTTGGGCTCAACTAGTTTGGTATTGATGCAATCTTCATCAAGAAGGTTAAAAGATTGTACCAGAGTTTTTGGTACTGAATGAAGTTAGATTTGATATACTATCGAACCCCGACCGAGTAGTCTAATAGTTAAGTGCTCTGTTCGACATATGTGACCAACCTGCAACGAAAATATTTTAGACCAATAAATTATGATGAGAGTTGATCAAATGTTCTCCAGGACAGCACGAACATTGCTGTTCATTAGAGTAAAACCAGTTGAGGATCTAATTGAAAACAATACTGTTCGGTTATATGTTCTAATTTTCACTACAGGAATTTCTAATATTTTAATAAAGAATCTTACCAATAACGTTTAACATATATAAGGTCTGTACCAAAATAACCAAACTCATCACTACTCGCTTACTGATTTCACATCTGAAATGTTTCGATCGAATTTCCGTGTTCAAAACGATCAGCCATGCACAGAACATGACGAGAAAATCTAAGCGAATTAGACTCAAACCTTGATGTACTCAACGTGAAAGCTACTTCAACTCAGCTAAGAATCATACAAGTAAGAAAATCAATCATTGTTGTACCTCGAATTTTTTTTACACCGGGAATGGCATGGTTATTGTCATACAACACGTAGTCGGTTTATTCACAGTGATGTCTCTATTAAATTTATTTATTTAAACAAAATTTGCTCCAAGGAGGCATCGATTATATGTGCGTCACGCTTTGTCATTCGATTTTTGTGAGGGCTAGAGTGCTGCCTGGGCGCCCAAGCTTAACTAGGTCGTTTTCTTAGGAGGCCACACCCGTATCCTTCGACCTTAAGGTCTGATCCACAAGGCATTGAAGCAACGTCAGGAGATGCAGTCCCATGGTAGCCAATGACCAACGATTGGTTCATATTCCATTTTTTCCCTCAGGATACTAGAGCCAATGTTCATCATTGGTTTGGAATCAGTGTTTTCAAACTCCCCTATGTGAACTTTCCGTGTCCACCAACCCGGTCAAAGCGCCGGACATTCGCTTTTCGTCCTCTCAATTTTATAAATAACAGCAATGCCGCGAGAAGGCAGTGAGTCTGACTTCCCCGACATAGGCTGTATACGCGTGACTGTGTGAGAGCATTTCGAGAGAGGGGGGCGGACCCTTCCCACTCTCAGCCGTTCCGAGGCATTTGGGGACAACCCTTTTCCAGTTGCTATTCATGCTTTTGATATCTGCTTCTGAATCTCGACGCAATATGTTCTTTGGCCTTCCTCTTCCCATCATGATTCCACGTTGGTGCTTGCCATGTGATGTAGTTTGATGAATTCCATAATGTATGTCCTATAACGTCTTTTCGTAATTTGCTCCTCAGTTGGAAGCTGGTCTGTTCTCTCCCACAGTAGGTTGTTGCTGATGGTATCTGGTGAACAGATATTGAGTATCTTACTTTGACAATTATTTATAAATACTTGCACGTTTCTGATGATGGTTGTAGTGGTTCTGGAAGTTTCAGCTCCGTACAGTAGAACTGTCTTGACGTTCGTGTTGAAGATTCTGACTTTGATAATGGCTTGCGGACAGTTGTTTTGAGTTCCATATGTTCTTTAATTTTGTGAATGCTGCCCTTGCCGTGCCAATCTTCGTCTTTACATCTGCTTCAGATCCTCCACGTTCATCAATGATTGTTGTCCATTCCGACTTTAACATTCAGATCTCCCATTAGGATGATCAGATTTTTTCCTGAGCATATATATATATATATATATATATATATATATATATATATATATATATATATATATATATATGCAAGAACAGGTTTCAGGTCATTTGGAGTTGGGATTCAAAAGCATGGGGATTAGGTGAAGCAGTAATTATATGAGGTGCAGAAACAGATAAGATAGACTAGGTTAATTTTAGAGGTTGTGAAAACTAGAATTAGAAATTGATAAGGTGGGTTATGTAATAATTGAATAGAATTTGAAGAGTTTACATAAGTTAAGAGGATTAGGTGAATGAAAACCTTGTGAATGAAGGGATGATTTTGGTGTAATAAAATAAGAATTAGTCAAGCGAAGATCATATAACAAAATAAACACTAATAAAATGATAATAACAAAAAATAGTTTACCAGGGTAGTTGATTATTGTCTCTTTCTGGATACATAAATCAGGTTTAGTCTTTTTATTGATGATGCTACGGAAAACCGAAGATAGGCCGTGGTTTTGTCTGCTAATATTTTTGAAAGCTTGTGTGTGTCAACACCATGCCCGGGTCAGATATATACGAAGCTATTACGCTGTTTAGAGCCGTCAAGCCTCTCAGTCTAAAATTCTATAGAGTGTGTTCGGAAATGCGAACATGAACTCTTCTCTCTGTTCTTCCAATGCATATACCTTGAAAGTGTACGCAAATTGGTAAATGCAGTTGGAGGTAATGAGAAAATCTGCTTCTTATATCTGCGCTTCAAAGGAGAATTAACCACTGTAAAGCGCTAACCAGAAAAAAACAATTTAAACTCATTCCTCCGAATCGAAGCATCTCCATCCCGAAGAATTATCGCGCATCATGATGAAAGCCGAAATCATTCGGATGTTCGAAAGACAGAACATGATTAACACTAAAAAAATAAACTCCGCCTGTAGCTCTTCGAGAGTTACTGCCGGTCCCAAGCCCGGGTAAAGGAGGAGGGTTGGGTATGGGGTTAGTGACCCCATCCCGTAGAAAAGTTAACTCGCTAAAAAAATGCTAACCAGAAATGCTGGTGAGCGGCCTATGCTCCTCGACGAGGGGTAACAGGCGTAAGTAAGTAAGTAAGTAATTCATACTATCTGAAACTATAGTAATCTGTTATATTTAACAAATCAAACATCAAAGTATCATATTCTATACACAAAGGATACATTTTACTAAATCAAATTAACTTTATAAGTTGATATAAATTTTGATCCGATCATAAGTTTTGACCTAAATTTCTATTTATTCACTAAGAACACGGAATGATACAAATTAATCATGAAATTAAAATTTTCAATTTAATAAACAATAAAGATTCAGAAAAAAAGTGCAAAAATTATTTTAAAAAAAATCGAATGGCAT